GTGGGGGTTGTCTGGGTGTGAATGGCAGCACCAGACGGCCTTGAGGGCTGAAGCTGTTCAACACCTGAATGTTGGGTACACAAGAGCCCCCCCATGAAAACAGAACTCCATAGAGAACACACACACGTTCCCGCCAGTTTTCTGTCCCAGAGTTTTGCAGGATGCTACCACGTGGGGGCGCCAGATGAAGGGCACAGGCACTGTTTTTTCTTACAACTGAACGTGTATCTGCAGCTCTCTCACAACAGGACTTAAGTTTGTGCAGACATGTTTAAAATGCTTAATGGGAGCAAGAAAGAGAGGGAGAGAGAGAGGGAGAGAAGAAGAGAGAGAGGGAGAGAGAGAGAAAGGGGGAGAGAGAGAGAACAGGGGACAGGACGCTTGCCTTGGCTGCATCCGACCTAGGTTTAATCCTCGGCACCACACATGGTCCTTGCAGCCCTGCTGGAGTGATCCCTGATCACACAGCCCAGAGTACTCCCTGAGCACCACCAGTCTGGCCCCAAACAAACCTAAAACAAAGAAAAGTGTTTATTCTGAGGGCCAGAGAGCTAGAACAGGGCTGCGGTGTTTATGCTGCATGCAGCCAGGGCCAGCGGGATCCCCTGTTCCCTGCTGTGTGCCCCAACACCATAGTAGGTGACTCCTGAGCACAGTTGGAGAACCCGCTGCACGCTGTTGGTGAGCTCACACTCCCCCCACACCTGGAACGAAAGCTCATTATGGAGTAGGCAGGTGGCTCAAAGGTTTGGAGCGCACGCTTTGCATTCGGTGGTTCCTGCGTGGTACCACAGGGTCCTCTGAGCACTGTGCCAAGTTTATTCCCTGAGCACCTCCGGGTGTGGCTCCCCCCACCAAAAGGGAGCATATCATACAGCCGAGACTCAGTACATTCCACAGAGGACAAGGTGGTGTGAGCAGATGATATTCCACCAGGATGAGAAAACTCATGCCTCTTTGGCATATTTTCTTCTTCTTCTTCTTCTTCTTTTTTTTTGCTTTCTGGGTCACACCCGGCGATGCTCAGGGGTTCCTCCTGGCTCATGCACTCAGGAATTACTCCTGGCGGTGCTCAGGGGACCATATGGGATGCTGGGAATCGAACCTGGGTCGGCCATGTTGGCTGCGTGCAAGGCAAACGTCCTACCCGCTGTGCCATCGCTCCAGCCCCTCTTTGGCATATTTTCAAGGAGAGGGTCTGTGCTGAGCACTGTCTAGAGGGTGTTCTCTGAGCTGGGGTTGGGAACCCTGGGTGAGGGCTGACAGGAGAGCTGGGCCGTCCCTTCCCTGGCCTGCAGGGGGCAGTCTGTCCAAACTGGGCTTAGCTCCTCATCCCAGCTGTGTGACAGCAGGCAATCTCTTGGAAGTTTCCCCTCTCTCACACACACATGCAAAATTCACACATACGCATGCACGCACGATGCGCTCTTGCGTCCATGCACACCCCGCAACTCATGAGCTCCTCTGCCTGTGGCTGGCAGACTGAGTGGGTTCATTTCTCCTTGGGATCTTGGTCCCTCACAGTTTATTTATTTATTTATTTATTTATTTTTTGCGTTTTGGGTCACACCCGGCGATGCACAGGAGTTACTTCTGGCTCATGCACTCAGGAATTACTCCTGGCAGTGCTCGGGGGACCATACGGGTTGTTGGGAATCGAACCTAGGTTGGCTGTGTGCAAGGCAAACGCCCTACCCACTGTGCTATTGCTCCAGCCCCTGTCCCTCACAGTTTAAAATGACTCCTTCTCCCCCAGGGTGACCCCTAACTGGCCCCAGAGCCCTTCCCAGTTGGGCAATACCTCCTGATAAACTCCCCCAGTTCTCCCACACTATCCAGCGGTACAGCCTCCCTGCCTTGTTTCTCCTGGAGCCCAATGTGGGCACTCAGAGCCTTGCAGAAGCCCCCCTCATTGTCCTGTTGGCAGGGAAACTCAGGAGTGAGTGATGTCTGCTGTGCAGGCAAACCTCGTCCTGCCCTGCCCCTCTGTCTCTAGGTCTTTTTTAAAAAAATTATTTTATTATTATTATTTGCTTTTAGGGTCACATCCGGTGATGCTGAGGGGTTACTCCTGACTCTGCACTCAGGAATTACTCCTGGCAGTGCTCAGGTGGACCATACAGGATGCTGGGAATTGAACCCGGGTTGGCTGCGTGCAACACAAACGCCCTACCCGCTGTGCTATCGCTCCAACCCCCTCATTTAGGTCTTAAAGGGGCCATAGGAGATGCGAGGTGGACAGCGAATACCTGGATGTGAAGAGGCCAGGTGGCCCTGCCTTGCCATGCCTGGCGTCCGGCTCGGCACCCTGCCATTGTGGGAGTTGGGAACTGCCGGGAGAGCTGCCAGCTCAGAACCCCACCCTGTGTACCATGCCATGCCCTGAATCGCCATGGTGTAGGGACTAAGGGGATCCATGGGCCGGGGTCTCGAGAAGCACTGGGTCCAGGGCCCCTGACCCACCCCGTTTCTTTGCCACTGCCTTCTTGCACCCTCTCCTCCAGCCTAGCCTTTCTGAGCCCGGGGGCAGCCCAGTCCTTGCACTCTCTGGCTCCTGAAGGGACAGCGTGTCCTGCATGCTCTGGAGTCCTGCCTGGCACAATGGCTTTTGCCATGCAGGCCAGGGGGCCTTTGCAGGCCATGAGGTGCCCTCTAGCCCGAGGAGCCCCAGCCCTGAGTTTGTTATAGAGAAGACAGACCACTATGCCACCTGCCAGGGTCAACCTCTTGAGAAAATCCCCTCCCCATGCCTCCAAATCTGAAACACTATGCTCAGGAGGCCCGGCATAGGCAGAGTCAGGCCCTGTCCCCTCACTGTCCATGTGCCCTTGGAGGGTGAACTCTGCAGGACTCTCTGGGCCTTGGTTTTCCCTGAGGGGCAGCTGAGGGGATGCCATCTTTCTTCTCCAAACTGGTCAGACTCACAGGGCCAACCAGTGGGACGAAACACAGGAAGGGAGTGTGCCAGCAAGTCCGTAAAGGGACATGGGGGCTGGCATGGGGAGGTGGGCACTGCAGCACAGTCCCTCCTGTTGCTCCTCAAGAAGTCCAGCAGGCTGGCATGGGGAGATGGGCAGTGGGCACAAGAAGGGAGATTGAGGCTATGGAATACTCCAGAGAGAGAGAGAGAGGGAGAGAGGAGAGAGAGAGAGATGAGAGAGAGGAGAGAGAACGAGAGAGAGAGAGAGAGAGAGAGAGAGAGAGAGAGAGAGAGGTCTGTTGCCAGTTGGTGGCAGCCCTTCCAGACCTCAGGCACATCCCTGACATCCCCTCCCTTAGCCACTGAGCTGGCCTGCTGAATGGCCTGACACACCCTTAGTTCCCACACCCAGGTCTGAAGTGGTCTCGGATCCTACATCTGATGGTGTGGGGGTGGGGACATTAGCTGCACTAGGGGGAGCCTCTCAGGGCTGGCCTGGCCGCCCCCTCCTGCCCCCAGCCGCTCTCAGCGGACACCCCTGCTAAAGCAGAACCCAGAGACCACAGACGGCATTCATCCTTTCCAGCCTGCTCTGGTCCCGGGGCTGGGGCTGGGGGGCTGGGCTGGCCACCTCCTTCCCGGACTCTCTGGGAGGCCGGCGGGAGCTTTGTAATGCTGCGGAGCCTTCCAGAACACATTTACAATCTCACACTTCATTTTTCTTGGATGTGATCTCCCTGCTTTTAAACATGTCATCACCCAGCTCCCTGTCCCCCCACGCCTCACTTCCCGGGTGTGGGAGCAGGGGCTTTGGAGAGGCCCGATGGCAGGGAGCCCACTGAGCTAGGGACCTGCCAGCCGGGCTGGCCAGGTGGCCGAGGGGCGCCAGCAAACAGGGCAGGGGAAGCCCCCCTCCTGGAAGTGGCCCCAGGGGTGGCAACGCCAGGGGCAATCAGAGCCGCAGAAAGGCAGACCCTGGACCAGGGCTCCCAGACGTGACAGCTAGGAGAGGCCACAGCTGCCTGGCATCGCCTGGTCTCAGACCAGGAAATGAGGACCAGCCACATACCCTGGGCTCTGGGCGGGCAGTTGGAGGTGGGAACATCTGGGTGGCCTCCTCAGAGAGGTGGGAGTGGCCAGGAGCCGCTGTGCCCGAAACAGAGGGTTACTGGGGCTGCTCTGCCCTGCGGGCGGGCACTGTCACGGAGGGCAAGTCCGGGGGGCAACGAGGGCGGTGAACTCTGAACCCCACCCTGAGACGGGGAGAGCTCCTTTGGGTTTCTGTTTGGTTCTGGGGCCTCTGACGGAGGGCCGTGCTCCACTCTTGGTTCTGAGTAGCTGCTCTGCAGCCGCGTCCGCGTCGGTCCTGTCCCGACCGCCCGGGATTTGCTGCGCTGACAGCGGCTGGGGCGACCGGGCAGGCGGGCAGGGCGCTGCCTCGCGGGTTTGCTTTTGGGCATCCCGCACGGACCCTGCCTAGCACGGCCGGCAGGAATTCCCAGGGGGAACCCCCGAGCATTGCCGGGGACGACCCCCAAAGCCACAACAAAACGAAAGGAAGGCGAAAAGGGCCAAGGCGAGAGCTCAGCGCTGGCAGCACCGCCCGGCTCACCTCGCTCCCTGCAGGGCGGAGACGCGGCTGCCGGGCGGGGGGCTCCACGGGAAACCCGGGCTGCCCCGACCGCCCGTTCCCGAGCCGCCCGCCCCGCCCGTCAGCGATCCCCCGCCTCCGCCTTCGGCTCCAGGCTCGGCCTGCACGGGACCCCCGCGCCGGGGCCGCAGTGCGCGAGCGGGGCGGGCGGGGCGGAGCGGAGCGAGGGCCGGCCACGCCCCCGGGCGGGGCCACGGGCGAGGGGCGGGGCGGGGCGGGCCGGCCAGGGGCGTGGCCAGGCGGGGCGGGCCGACCAGGGGCGTGGCCAGGCGGGGCGGTGCGCGCGGGCGGGGCGTGCCGGCTCGGGGGCGTGGCGACGCGCGCGGGGCGGGCCGGCTCGAGGGGCGTGGCCGGGAGGGCGGGCCCGGGCTCGGCCCGCCCCCGGCGCCGGCGCGGGCCCGCCCCGGGGGCGTGGCGGCGGCGGCGGGCCCCGCCCCCGGCGCGGCGCTCCGGGCGCTATAAGAGGGCGGCGGCCGCGGCGGCGGGCCCTGCGCGGAGCCGGGCGCGCGATGGTCAGCCGCCGCGGGCGGCAAGATGCTGGATGGGCCCCTGCTGGCGCGCTGGCTGGCCGCGGCCTTCGCGCTGACGCTGCTGCTCGCCGCGCTGCGCCCCTCGGCCGCCTACTTCGGGTAGGTGTCGTCCGCGGCGCGCGGGGGCCGGGCGGGGGTCGGCGGGGCCGCGGGGCGGGCGGGCGGCGGGCGCCGGCGGGGCGGGGGCCGGCGGGGCGGGGGTCGCGCCGGGCGGGCGGCCCTGCTCCGCGCTGACCCGGGGCGTGCGGCGCGGCGGCGGGGCGCGCCGTCGTCCTCCGGGACCCCCGCCCACCCGCGCTCCGCCGCCTCGCCCTCCTCCCCGCTCGAGCAGCTGATTTAACGACAACAAAAAACACGTACGAAATCCAGATGTTCCTTGCGCGGAGCCCCCGAGGGGGAGGAAAGTAGCTCCACGCCGGAGCAATTTATTTTTCTTGCGCGGCGCCGCGGGCGCTCGTCGGGCCCGGCCCGGGAGCGCGTCCGCGCGCGCCCCGCGCCGGGGGTCGCGCCCGCCCGCCCCGCGCCGCCCCGCCGCCCCGCGCGCCCCGCCGCGCCCCGCCGCGCCGCCGCCGCCACGCCGCGCCCCGCGTCACCTGTTGGTGCGCCGTGGCCGGGGCGTGGGAGCGCGGCGGCCCGGCCGGCAGAGGGCCCCGTCGGCCCAGGAATGGGCACGCCGGGCGCGGAGGCCGGCGGGCGAGGGGGCTGCAGGTGTATCCTGTTCTCAAAGAAAATAAAGTGTTTTCACGGGAAACTTTCCCTTTGTGTTTTTCTTTCTCCTGCTGCCCTTTCTCCCGGGTCTTCTTCCAGGGTCAGCCGCGTGTCTCGAGCGCGCCCACCCGCAGCCCCTCCCGCCCGGTCGGCCCGAGCCCAGGCCCGGGGCTGGCACACCCGTGCCCGCCATCTGTGCAGCCCTTGGCCTCCCCGGCGGGCAGGAGGGAGGGTCAGGGGGCGGCCGTCTGGCCACAGGTCCTCGGTGAGTCACGCCAGCCTTGTCAGCCCTGCGCCGGCCGCCGGCCGGCCGGACACACCCTGCGCCTGCTGCCCCTCTGCGGGCAGAGGGGACCCGGCTGCAGGGTGGGCCACGGGTCTGCGGAGCCCCGGCCGGCAGGGTGGCCCAGCGCCCCGGACCGTCGGGAGCAGCGGGCGCCGACGGCTCCTCCGCCAGCCCCGTCCGCCCCGCGAGTGACCCTTCGCGGCCGCCGCCTGGTCGGTGCAGGCCCGGCCTCCCTGGCAGAATGACAGGCCCGCGGGGCCGGGGCCCTTCCCGCCCTCGGCGCCCGGCGGGGGGGGGGCAAGCCCGGGCCTCTCGCGGACCCCGCGCCGCGCTCCCTCCGGAATGCAGAGGCCGAGCCGGGCTCTGGGCTCCAGGCCCCGTCCCTTCCCCCTCCGAGGGCGCTGCCTGGCCCGGGCTCCCGGCAGGAACGCGGCTCCGGTTACAGCCCAGAAACCCGGAGAGGCTGGCCCGGGGGAGGGTCACGTGGGCTGCGGATCCCTCTCCGCCCCTCCCGGAGGCCCCAGCCCAACCCGCCGCCGCGGCCGCTTCTGCTGCCCTCCGCGCGCCCGCCCGGCCTCCGTGCTAGGCAGGACCCTCAGGGGCCAAGTCCGGCGCGGGGCAGGGGCTCTGCCCGCACTCCTGGCCCGAGCGAGCGGTCGGCAGGTGGCGCTTCCGTCCGGTCGCCCAGGCACCAGGCCGGCTGGCTGGCTGCTCCAGTGCCCAGACCTTGGCCTGAGACTCGTGGAGGAAGTGTGGACCCGGCTTCCTGCAGGAAGGGGCTGCTCCAGGCGCCCTGGGACCCCCAGAGACAGGCACGTGCAGCCTGGGTGGTTGGCGCCCGGCCTCATCAGATGAGAGGATGGAGCGGTCAGGGAGGGCAGGATCTGTGCTGGGCAGGCGCTCTGGGGGCAGAGACTAGAGTCCCGCCACTTCCAGAGGAGTGTGGTGAGCCTGACGCCACTGGGCCCTGCCCCAGTAGCCCCTCTTCTGCCTGTTGGCGTGAGAGGTCAGGCCTCTGTGCAAGAACACGGCCGTCACAGAGGATCTAGAGGGCTGCCTGGAGGAAGCATCACCAGCCTTGGCTCAGCCAGGCCAGAGCCTCCCCGTGTGAGGATGCCTGAAACTGGACGGGAGGCGGGCTGGGCATTGGAACCCGGGAAACTGGGGGCCGACAGGATATTAAGAGCCAGATGCCTTTTGCTATTGAGACGAATACTTGATCCTGGAAACGTTCCCTTTGAAGGGCTACAGACCAGGCCAGGAATTGCCATCTAGTTCCAAAACATTCTCCTCACCAGAGGGCCTGTCTCGGCCCTTCTCCTCACCCCTGGCAGCCACCGGTCCACATTCTGTGTCTGTGTGGACCCCTGTGGACGCGCACAAGCGCCTTGGGTCTCATTTTCCCTGCCGTGGCGGGTTTCAAGACCCCGCTTCATCTGCTGTGCACACTCTGCTGTGGATGGTGCTGCTGCTGTGAGCACTTGCATCAGGCCTCGGGGGAGGGGAGATCTGGGCCACAGCCTGTGGTGCTGGTGACTCCCTGGCCAGTGCTCATGAGGGACTCCCACCATAGTGCTCAGGGGACTGTGTGGGGGTCACCAAACCCAGGCCTCCGCCTGCAGAGCCCTTTGAGTCATCTTCCCCACCCAGTCTGTGTGCATGAGTGTTTTTGATTTTTCTGGTGTTCAAGATTCTCTGAGCGTTCAAAGTGGTCCTTGTTGAGCCCTTTTCCGAATGGCTGAATCATTTCCACCAGTTTATCACTTCCTCATTAAACTTGCCGTTTCCTGTCACTCCTCTCTGAAATCTTATTCTGCTGTGCATAGTTTGCCGTGAGGAAGTGTGCGCTGGGGCTGTCACTGTGTTCCTCGTGACTCCCACTTTCAAGCACCTTTTCACAGGCTCCTTAGACATCTGTTTGTCCTCTCGGAAGAAGTGCCCGAGCAGTTCTTCTGCCCCATTCCTGGTGGGTGTCGCATCACATGGTTGCCCTGCCAGCTCTGTTCTCGCACCGTGCGAGCCTTGCTCTGTGGCCGGCGAGCTGGTGTGCCCCCCCGCCCGGCCCCTGCTGCAGTGGGACCATGCCCTGCCTGCACAGCACGTTTTGCTCTTGCCTGGGTGCCGGTGGTGTGCACTCTGCTGGAGCCTGGCTGGCCGCTCAGGGTCCCGCCTGGGAGCCTCCCCGAGGGTCTGTGGTCACAGGAAGGGTTGGTGTCCCTTGTGTCTGTGTGAGGGGTCTGACTTCTCCAGGGCCGAGAGGTGAGGGTGAGCTTTGTCTCCCTTGCCAGCAGCCAGGCCCGATGACCCAGGCAGGCATGTGTGAGAAGGGTGGACGGGAGGGCCAGAGCCTCAGGTGGACCCTGCAGAGAGCTGGCAGGAGATAGGACAGTCTCTCATCAGTGCCAGGGGCGGGGAGCTCTCCCGAGGCTCTGTGGTGTGGGGTCTGGGTGGTGGGACAGTCTCTAGGGTCAGGTCACTGGGGACAGCCTGAGAGAGGCAAGATCAGCCAGTGTCCAGAGCAGCCCGGGGCCAGCGTGCCCTCGCCAGTGGCTGAGAGGTGATTGGGAGGGCAAGAAGTGGGCTGTAGAGGCCCACGGATGAGGCGCGTGATCCTGTGGGGAGCCAGGGAACGGGGCGCGGGGGTCATGGCACTGACCACCTCTCGCGCTTTCCATCCCTCCCTCTTCAGGGCCTTTTGTCGGGGGGTGGTAGAAGCCCCCAGCCCCTGCAGACGGCGCAGAGAGGCGGGCGCCCCTGGCTCTCCCGGCTGGTGCCACTGAGGTGAAGATGAGGCCCCACCTGGTTCCCCTCAGCTGTGTGCACAGATGCCTGGCCGCAGCCAGCTGTCTGGACAGGGGACAGCTGCCTGATCTCGCTGCCGTCCTTGCCGCCGTTGCTGTGGGCACCGGTGGGACCCTATTGGGCTCCCAGGGTGGCCTGAGGGCGCCGTCTGTGCCCACCCAGGGGGCCTGGCCATGTCTCGGACAATAGCAGAAGTGTGTGGGTCACTTTCTCCTGGGAAGGAATGTGCACCCGGCCCCTGCGCCTGCACCGAGCGATGAGCTGATAAGAGCCAGCTTGGCGGCCGGCCGGAGAAAGACAACACCTGTCAGCAGGGCCCACTCGGCCCTAATCCGCGGAGGGGGTGCCCTTGCCTTTGTGCATTGTCCTAGGGTGGAGTGCCCTGCTGTGCCCACCATGGCCAGCAGCTGAGGGACGTCTCGGAAGAGACACGGGGGAGAGAGGAGGGCGGCAGGGCCCGGTGTTAGGTTGAGGGGTGGAGGGAGGCAGAGAAGCCCAGAAGAGGGGCCGTTACCTGTTGCTCAGGGGGCTGCTCTGCGCCCGGCTCGGGGACAGATTCCCCGTGGCCTCTGGGTCCCCTCTAGCCCCAGGGGCGGCTTCTGCCCTACCCTGGTCTCACCCTGCACTTCTGGTGGGGGCAGGTGATGGCACAAGCTTGGAATGGGATGTCTGGGGCCCTTGCTGGGGCCCTTGCTGGGAGCCAGGCAGCAGGGCTAGGACCGGTCCCTGTGGCAGGGGCGGTGGACAGCAGGTGGCTGTGCCGGGTCCCGTCAGAGGTCAGTCTGTGTCAGCGGCTCCGACCTGGGTGGCACATGGACCGCCCAGCTCTGTGACCCGCACCCGGCCCGCCTGCCTTGCCCTCCCCGCGGTTCCCCTGGCCTGCCGCCTCTGGCCGCAGGAGGAAACCCAGCCGCCCCGCTGGAGGCCCTGCTCCGGAGCCGGCCGTGGACGAGGGGATGGAAAGAGGCAGGCCTCCAGCCGCGTTTGTTTTTCTTTGCAGACCCGAGGGAGCTGCGCCAGGGGAAGTGGCCTGGAGGTCTGGCCACGAGCACTGGCTGCCGGGCGCCCAGACCAGAGCACGTCAGAGCCGCATCCGGGCCGAGGCCTCATCCCAACCCTCGGCCAGGGAGCCTCAGCACTGCCCCCCACCGCCCCAGGGTGGCCTCGAGCTGCTCTCCTGAGCCCTGCCAGTGTCCAGGAAAGGGGCCACTCCACAAGGTGGAAGGGACGCTGGAGCTGGCGAGAGGGGGCCGGGGCTGTCACCTACCTGCTTTTGGTCTGCTTTTTTTTTTTTAATTTTGCA